TGCGAAATTATCGGTCAGTGGGGAAACGATCACAAAGAAATGTTCCTTTAGATAGCTCCGTCCGAAATACCTGCCTTGTACACGGCGCTCATCTCCGAGCATTATCTTCGTCGAACACCTGCTAACGCTTCTTCTCGCGCAGTTGGAGGCGACATAAGAAAACAATTTTGAGAATAATCTCCCGCCATTCATTACGTGGTCACGCGAAGAAGAAGTTCTTCCGCCAGAAGCGTGGATACTTCTTTTTTCTGCTTCATCTTCGTCTTGCGGCCCGTACTGCATCCGCTGCGCATATAAAGAAAGTCGAACATGCGAGGATCTTATATATATATATATTCGTGACAATATTCATAACATTCAACTTGATCGTCGCCATGGGTCATTATTTCGTCCGTTCCGACTCATCCTGGCGCCTCTATTCTTACTCGTCTTCATTCTCCTCTCGGATCGGTTGTTTCTTCGTGTTTTCCTACACGGTCGGGCCGCGGCGCGGCGGCGATTCTTAAGAGAGCGATCACGCGAGCAACTTTGTTGTCGGGGCCTTTCGCATTAATTAGCCCTTGCAAAATTTCGCGGCCCCGTACGATGCTCCGGGAGAGGTGGGACGTAGCTGGACGAATGGTGGCGAGGGTCCAGGGTTTATACTTCTGGGAAGATGGTCGTAAAGACCGCTTGGCTTCACTGGCTCTGTTATTAGCCATGTTGCTGCGACTTAAAGCGAGCAAGGCTCCGGGAAGGATACTGACAGGGCCCTGGGGATATAATCGCGCTTTACCTTTCACCCGGGAGGAAGATCTGACTAATCTTCCTGGCTTGCTACTACAGAGACTAGGTACGTGTTTTATTTCAATGCGAGTGGTTGCACTTGGCCGAAAATCGATTGGCGAACATCTATTTCGCTGCTAGTGACGTACGTTAATTAAATGAACATGATATTGCTACCATTTGCGACAAATTATGATTTTACAATCGTGCAAATATTTAGATAATTAAATGTAAGATTGAGAAAACACATAAATAAAACAAGATATATGTAAAGCAACAGAAGTTTCCAGTGAAAGAATTTGATTCAAGGAAATTACTGTTCAAATTGTGTTTCTAGGATATCTTTGCTTCGAGGATATCTTTGATCGTCAATCACCAAAATAATTTAATAAATGAATGCAAAGAAATCTTTTGTTTGATATTCGTGAAACGAAAACTTGGAGGTGAGAAGTGGCGCACGACCGATGTCCCCTCACGCGAGCAAAAGGGGGAAAGGTAGGTGCGCGCGAGGGCAATCCCGACGGGACAGAGAAGTTTTACGCGGGGATTATCAGGAAGCGAAGCGAACGCCCATGAATACGGAGATCCTCCGATAAAAGGACGAAAAAAGAGACGACGGCGGTGGAGCTGAAAGGAAAAAGACGGAACAGCACGCGAGTGGAGGAACAAAGAGAAAGAGAAAGAGAGAGAAAGAGAGCCGGGAAAGAGTTGGTAACCCAGTGCCGCCAGGAGAGTGCCAGAGCAATGTAGTCGACCACGAATGAGCGTACCAACGGATGGAGAGGCAACACTTTGTAGTTTTAATCGATCCGGTGGGACGGGGGAGAAAGACGAAGCACCCTAGCACGGGGGATGAGTCGGCGGCGTGTGGAGGAAGAGCGAGGGAGACCGTCGGAAGGCGGGAGAAGGACAGGCACGTTCGCAGGAAGTGGGACGAGTGTCGCTGATGCGGTGCGAGCGAGAGGGACGCGGGAAAGCGGGAAAGCGGGATAGAAGGAACAGGGCGAGAGAGTAGAGACCCACATCCTGCCGACTCCTACAACTTCAACCACCAGCTGGCTACACTCCTGCCTCCACGGGGACGAGTTATATGTGAAAAGCACGTGGACCTTCGGGTGGAAGAAGGATGGCTGTATTCATTCATTTCCTCGTATATTTCGTGTAAGAGACTTTCCCTTCTTCTACGTCGATGCTCGACGTACACGCTCGTTGAGGAAAAAGGACGGGCGCGATACACGCGTTGAATTTCATTGACCCCCATTGAGTGATAATATGACTCGATACATCCGTATATTAATCGTTTCGTTCTTATAAAGTCCTTTCAGTAATGCTTCTTGAAATCGAAAAGATTAAAGGAAGATTAAAGAATTAAGAATCATAGTTATTTAAGATTATCATTTGGCTATATATCTATAATATTTATGCTAAATCTATACGCTAAGTTTAGCATTTGTCTATGCTCAATTTTAAAATGATATACAATGTTCCAAATGCTATATTCATTATTATTAATCTTACAGTGATTTTGTCAAAAATAGCAAACATGATTGTTCATTGCATTAGTTATAGAGGAATATAAATAACTCGCATTATTTATTCTGACAATATTCAAATCTCAAAATTAATACGCTTCATTTCAAACTAGTACGTTTCATTTTAAGCTAACCGCTTTACCTATATCTATATAATCATACTATGCAACATGATATATAAATAGATTAATGTTTTGATCTAGCGGTTTGCAATTTACTGAGCAAATGAACGAAAAGTTTGCCATTAGATTAGATCTTTTTAGAATATAATTATTAATTCTGCTTGGTAATTGATACAGGAACCAACCAATTTTTAAATAACTCTATTAGATAACTATATTAAATTATAATTTATTTAAACAAGTAATAGAAGTTGCGGAAAAAATTTTAAGAACAAATGAACTGATTTTTAAAAATAAAACCATCGTTCGAATCGTGTCTAAGGATCGAATCACGCCGGAATATGATCGGGGTCGACGTCAGAGAAATTGAGGGGAGAGCATTAAAACACCGAGGGACGGTGTCAGTGGCGTCGGCCTCGGCGAGGGCGGCACGTAGGCAGGAAAGGGGTAAAATTCTATCTTAATAAACGCACCCTTCCAGCTCGTGCAGCGTGTAACTTCGTACGCCTACAGTTTTGTACGCGTCGGAATGGATTTGTAATCGAATCATGTCAAGTGATTTCGCTCTGATTTGGAATTAAGAACGGAACTAGAATTTATAACATTCGATATCGAAATAGAACGAATTAAACGAAATAAATCGAAATTAGTGAAAAATAATGCAGAAATTAAGTGCGCAGAAATAATTCTAATCCTTTCATGTGTCACTAAAAATATAAATCTTCCAAACATACCTATTACATTTTTTAATCATAATTTTGCAATATACTTAATTTACCTAAGCCTATAAAAAAAGCTTAATAAAGCTTAATATGATATTAAAATATTATTGTTGTCAAAATGACATTTATACATTGTTTGGAAATTACTTATACAGCAGACGTAATTTTTTAGTTAAATCGTAAGCAACATTAAAACGCACTTCTTGCATTTTATCTGCATAAATCTTACTGAAAACAGTATACTTAATATAAAAATCTCATATTAACCCAGCGTCATTAAAATTTTATAGCCGTGGTACCTTGTAGTCACCACATCAAAGGATTGAATGCGCAAGAATGTCGTGTCCCCCGACGCATTTGTAATTATCTATAAAAGTTAATAACCGCATGATTTAAATGATAGAGTTATTTGGTTGATATAAAGTAATCCAAAGTTCGTAATTACGTGACAGGAATTGATGTAGAAATAAACTGCTATTTTTCCGCGATACGTACCTATCATGTGTTAGGATTCTGTCAAAATTCTACGAGTATCCTCATCCATCTTAAGCAACGATTGAAGTGACATGGCCGTCATCGTCGTCGAGATCACACTAATTTCCGTGATAGGACTAAAGATTAAATTTATAGATTAATATTACAATAAAATGCACTTGTTATCACATTGTTATCAATACGGTTATGCGCCCATTACATCCAATATCTCAAAGGGAAAGAAGAAAGAAAGTAGATGCGTCAATCATCTTCGATGTGCATTTAATTCAAGTTAGCGCAATTTTTACTCAAGGCAGCAACTAGACAGTAAATTTATTTAATAAATAGTCGCGAAATCTATGAATACGAAACGAATCGCGTAAATCTTCCTTCTTGTAATTCAATGACTTATAGCACTACGTGAATACGTGAAAGAAATATTTCTTTTTTTCTAGAGGCTTTATTTAAATATAAAATATTTTATAGAAGTATTAAAGAAAAGATCATTAATTGAAGACGTTCTAATTGCAAAACTATTGCGTGTATTTGGAATGGAATGTTATAGTAATTCTTAAAAAGCGTTTCATGTCTTTATAATTTATGTTTATACACATAAATGATGAGTTTTTCTTATACCTTAATCATAATAGGAAAAAATTCTACATTATAACTTGTACGTTAAGTTTTTCTTATAAATAGTACCACGACTGGTTAGCGAACGTTTACGTATAAAAACTCTTCTATTTTTATTAAACATTACCGATCACAAAATATAAGTTTTTAGAGTCAAAAGCGCATTATTTTTTCAATTTTTTCTTACAACGTATAACGTCGCTGACGAAGCGTTCTCCAATGTTACCAGCGACTTTCTTACCGCTCAACAATCCAACAGACAGCACTGATACTGGAGTATCTCTTAATTCCACCGATTAGTCCTTAAAATCACACCGCTACCTACGTGCCGATCATCTTCTTTCCTCCCTGAGCAGACTCTCCGGAGTCCGTATCAGTCCTCGGTGCCGATCGCTCCTCCCGGGCATCCCCGCCGGCGAACTCACCAGCCCCGTCGGGCTGATTTGCATCACGGTTACGAGCTCGTTCGAGCTCGTGGTGGTTATATTACAGAGCGAGCGAGATGGGTACACAGTGGAAAAACAGAGACGGACAGAGGTACCTCTCGCGGCTGTACCACCCCCAAAGTGCATCGCGGGAGGCAGCTCGGACACTCATAACAATCATAACAACGGGATCTCGCGAGTAACTCGCGGACCACCTCCGCGCATCGGTACCGCCCATCGTACCGCCTCCATTACCCCTTCTACGACGACTATCCACCAGGCGGGAGAGCCGTCACGGCGGGCTGTTCTTCCCTCGGTTGTACGCCGGGGCCACTACGCAGCCAGACTGCGGACCGTCAGGGTTCAGGTCCGAGTTTTCGCGTCGAGCTCTAATCGCGCAACGTGCACGACCACGCTGCCCGAGCAAGAACACGAAGAAGAGTGAATCGACCGCCTTCTCCGAGACACTGAACCCGCGTGGGATCGGGATCGTCGTCCGCAGTGCCGATTGCGGAAGAATCTTACTTGAGATCGGAAAGCTCGAGCTGATCGCCAGAAGAGGAATCAGACGGGATCGAATGATCGACGCCTCCTTCGCAAGGATCATTCACAACGTGTTGGTGAAAAGCTATAGTGTTTGTGGGCCAGAGAGTGATAAGGGAGTTTAAACTTGCAGCTGCGTGCGCCGATTTGTCCGGCCTATCAGCACGTGGCCGCAGGGGTGGGACTTCTTTCGATGCGCCTCGCGGGACAGCTATAAGCGCGGTAAACTCTGTGACAGTTGGCCAGTGAAACGTGCGATCGGATAATTGTCGGTCGGAGAAGTTGACTCTGTTGACAGTTGCGTCGCTCCGAGAGCAGCTATTTTAAAATTACGGTGGCCGTGACGATCGCTCCGATCTGCTTCGCGTTTGCCGAATGTGAATTAGGAGTAAATGCATGGAAACGTTGAGTCGCGACAAGTGCGTAGGACAGATGAAACGAAATTAATCAAACGGCGACTGAAGGACTCGACGATATTAGCGTGAGTGTCAGGACCGATCTACCGGCCTCGACAAAAAAAACGCAAGTCCTCGGATAGGATACATGCCGTTAAACAGAAGAAAGCGATGAAACGAGTACTATGGCTCTAATAAGCTTCTAATTATCGCGACAGGTGCGCTGATAATTACGACGCGCGCGTGATCATCACGTGGACACGTCAGTGTTTTTCAACATAAAATTACACGTTACGGACAATAACTACGAAGTGCATGGTTTGACGCGCGTAAATAGAATAATTAAAAGTACATTACACAGGAAAGCGTGTTATCTGCCGGTTATCTGTCCGGTGACGTAGAGCATCCCGTGTTAGGGATCGAACTTGGTGAAATATCGTTTCGTCAAAAAAAAAAAACACTCTTGTCATCTAGAAAACAGTTCGAAAGTCGAAAGTTTTCAAAACATTCGGTCGCCTTTCGAGTTTCTTTCAATTACGAATATCGCCTTAGGCGATATACGAGAAACGAAGAGGTGGGATCAATCGAGTAGTGTTTTATGAAGCAGCGGGCAATTAACTGTTTGCTTCTTGATCGCTCCTAATTACTCGCAATTACCCGTTGTAATTAAGTAGGCTGATGTCACCGGCGGCCGATGTATCAGTGAATCGTCCGTTTCTCGACGTCGATCCGCTACTCCTCCCAGAACGACCTGTTAATATTCGCCGTAGGAAAATTACCGGAAGATCGTGAAACTCGCGAGCGAGGTGAGGTGGCGGCAGAAGGAGGATCTCTCGAAGGGAATTAAGACGGATCAGCCGGGTATAAACGCGGCATCGGCGAAGGAACGAGGGCAAGACAAACGGCTTGATCGGCGAACGGAGATCGGTACGACCGCGACGGAATTGCACCGTGGCGGAGATAAATAACAACCGCTAAATAAATCCGCGTCAGGACGACGTCCCAAATACATCAGTCACAGATCGCCTCAGGTGAGTGTCAGGCACGAGTTCGCTCCTGCTTATTATAAGCCCAGGCTAATCTCGGTAATTAGACGGTTCTTCTAAATGCGCGCCCGGTCGGCTGCACGTGTGTAGTCTCACATTCGCACACCGATTAGTCGCGTGTACGGACGCGCCTGCGCATGTTACCACATGCACGCGCGTTTAGATCGACCTCGGGAACAGGCACGGGAATGGAAATTAATTAATTTCACATTTTACGTATTTCATGTCATAATTTTAAGAGGCAATTAACAAACAATTGGATAAGATCTTTTAAAATGACAGAATCTTTTCTTTTCTTGCGCTTTTTTGTTAATCTCTAATATTTATTGTTAGTATATTAAATTTGATATTGATAAAAGCTGGATAAATGTTATGATTCCGATCATGTTAAAACTGAGAAATTATTAGTAGAAAAAAGGAGGGAGAAGTCAACTCTGAGCTCTGTTGTGCGTATATTCACATGTGGCAATTGCGTGCCTCGTGAGCGATAATTGTTGGCTCGATATCATTAAGTTAATCTCGGTAATTAAGGAAGTTCCTCTCCCAAAGCTTGGTCACGCGGGAATTCTGCTGGCAGGGGATCGAAAACAGCGTTTCCTTCTCTACGCTTCACTTCAACTCGGTGATAATTTCATCCAGATACTTAGCTACGTACTAATAATTAGCGCGATAATTATGCGCGCCCGCGTATACTCGCGTCTACGTCAAGTGTGTGACCTGGAAATGCTAATTAAGGGATCGGCCGAGCACGTAAACGTAATGCGGCCGTGTAGGATTCTTTCAGTCCTCACTGTCTTTTGTGCAGAAATGCGGAGAAATATCATGTGCTGGATATTGTATCAGATACGACTCATAGTACAGTACGAGTAATTATCATGATTAACAGGAGTGTAATGTAAGCTATTTTTAAGATGGCCGATATAATATTGTCATTTATTCCGAATGCATATAATTGTTAAGATGTTGAAAATAAAAGCTAAGTTTATAATTCAAATTTATTTATAATAAATTTACTTTGAGAGGAATATGTAATAGAATTCGGAAATATATGACTAATTAATTAATAATAATTTTATGAGATTTAGCGAAGAAACTTATCGTTTCTCTTTTTATATCTAAAAGTTAGTGGTGTTTCGTAAAGGAAACTATATTGATATCGTCAAAGCAGTAATATATTGTGCGATGAGACAATCGCTGGGAAAATAACTCATTTTACATCAACTGTATAAGAAATAATGTTATTTATCGGCAATCTGAGCATAAGGCTGCGTCAAGTATATAAATTCGATAATCAAAGTTTGCACAAGAGTCAAATTCAATAGCGAATTTACCAATGGTTTATAAGTAATGAGTTCACAATAGATTTTTACATATCCCTATTACTTATATCTACGTCTCAATATCGTTCTTCCTTTTCTCTTGCGAAAAAATATTTATAATATTTTTGAACCCGCACGAACGTTTTCGATCGAACGATATATGTTGTTGGCAGATATATTTGTGATTAAACGGCAATATTGAATACGTTGAATACATCGCGTTCATCTCCCCGACCATATGACCGGAGAGGTAAACAGGAGCACGTGTTGGTGGCGTGACTACGAGTGACGGCGTGAGCTCTGGGGGTGGAGAGGAGGCAGAAGCAGAGGATGGAGGAAGGAGGGGGTGATAGTGGTGGACGGGAAGGGTGACGAGGGTGGAAAATCAGTGTGAGCTGCCCGAGGGTAGGAGAGTTCTTTGCTTGCCGCCTCGGGAACACGGGAGGGTTGTGACGAGAGAGAGGGTTGGAGGAGTTGGAAGAGAGGGAGACCGGGAAATTCTAGCCACCGAAAGTGGAAGCGAGATAGTCGAGGTTGGCCAAGCGAATCATTGTCGGTGGGAATAGACGCGGAGAGTTGAAAGCAGAAAATCCCAAAGGAAACACTTGACTCGCGATATCGTTGGAGTTTGGCGCGTTGAAATCGACACAAAGAAAGCAAGGCGTTTCATCTCGACTAAACGATGTCGAATTTTAGCGAGAGACTTTGTTTTAAGCTTTCTACTTATTATGCTCAATGTCGTAAAAAATGAGAAATATTAAACAATTTTTTATGACAGTCCATCGTTATGTCGACATTTCTCTTTTAATTAAATGTTAGAAAATTAGTTGAGAGAAAGATCAAAAGCAATTGTTTTATTGTCGCGCTTAAATTATTAATTACTTATTATTATGGAGAAAAGATCAGCGAGAATTTTCTTTGTTGCAAATTTAATTCGAGAGAATCATAATCAGAGATCGCTAGGATCACTATATTTGTTGTCGAGGTCAAGAAAACGAATCCCCTTCTTATATCTTTTCGTCGCATCCCTCTCTTTGTGTGTGTTCTCTCTCCTTCTCTTTTCCTTTTCTCTCTTTCCTCTTATTCTCACCACCCTTGGCTCCCGCTCTCGTTGGCTTCCCCATTCAAGACTTCCCCTTCACCCGGTTCAACCCCTGCCGACAATCCGGCGCACGATAACATTTCGTTCTACAACTTTACCCACTTCCAGTTCGCTTTACAGTCGCGCTATTCTGTTTTCCGCCCGAGAATCTTCATCGATTATCGACTCGGAAATCATTCCGGGTAAGAAAAAAGTTTCGCTGCAAACTCGGCGTGTCAAGTGTGAGGCGTTACGCTTAATCCATCATTTCGCGTGCTGCTTCTTAACAGTAACGATTATTTGTTGCTTGTATAAATTGCAAGTATACTACGAAATTTCTTTTAACCCTATCTCTGTCGAGATTCTTTATGCATGTCGCAAAAGAAAAGTCGAGCTCTTTATTTTCGCAAATACTACATTATTCGTCGACGACAAAGAAATTGCTATAAAAAACTTGATTCTACATTATATCGAATTATATTACTTGCGTGGAATACGTTAATGACTTAACAAATTTTGCGGCGTAAAAAAAACAGTAACGTTGCTTTGTTACTCCGAAATTTCCCCGCCGGTATATTTATGATTGGCCTTTGCAACATTGTAGAAAGAACGCAACGTGTGCGCGAGCTCATTAATTCTAATAATTCATGAAGAAACACGCACGCACGTAATAGCTCGGAGCGGCTTACGATTTGACGGATAGAGAGTTGCCTCAGCCCTCTCGTGTTTTTAAATGTCGGCTAAATTATATTCTGATATTTTAATAGACCTAATTTACATGTAAAACCACTTTCAAAATCATTCTGTCTCCAACACGCTACCAGCGTTTCCTTTTGCAAACGAGGAGAAAATACCAACGAATCAAAAAAGCTTTTTGTAATCCTTCAAGTGACCGTTTCATCCATATTCTTCTTTCTCTGTTCTTTGAAAATTACAATATAATTTTCTCTACTGTACAACAAGGTTTAACTTGATTTGTCTTTTAATAGCTAAGAATAAAATTAAACGATTTTAAGAGCAAGAATGTGCATTTGTCTGCAAGTAATCGAGAGCGTTTCTAGTGTGGAACGGTTAGCCTATAAGAATGAGAAAAAGGGATCCAATGAACCGGGTAGCGTGTTTTTGGAGCCAGATGTTAATTCCGACAACTCAGCGTGAGCCACGAGAAGACGGTTTAGTACGTAAATACATCTTCAGCAGGGGGTGCCATTATAATGGGCATATGCGGTTAAAGTTCTATTTGTGGTAATTCGGAGTTTAATGCACTCGGGGGCTCTGATTTAGCCAGCGCGAGCTGACACTTTTTTTATCCGGCAGAACCTCAACGACGCTGGCGCCGTAAAGCGTAAAATATTCTTCCTGCGCCTCCGACGATACGGTCGCGCGGAGACATTAGGCATCTTTCTTGCGTCGCGATGCCAAGTTTTAGCGTAAAGTGATATCTTCTTATCAAACTCGTATACGATGTCGGAGAGAGCGTGAGTATCGTTTCTTGAATAAAGCCGCATTTTTAATTCAAGTAACACGAATTAATAATAGACGTTCGTCATTGTCAGAACCTTTTTGCGCATACAATTCTATTTCCGTGCGCTGAACTCGTTTCTGTGTACGGGATTAGCTTTCGCTTCGATTATACATCTCAAAAAAGAATTTCGCCGGAATAATGTAAAATGTTTGTAACAGCAGAAATTCCGACGAGGGCGTAAAATATCGCGTCTTGGATAACGCGTGTTGATGCCGAACCCCTTCGGCGCCGATTTATGGGCACTCTCGCGCCCGCCGATGCGATGCGCGCGTTACGCGTTCCACGCACACACGCTCTTACGGCCACGTATACTCCGAAACCGGGAGCGTCAATCTCGACGAAGCGTTCGCACAGTCGCATTAACGGCGCGCTGTTCAGTTTAATCCTTGCGTTTCGTGACTCGGGACAAAGCCCCTCGGATTTCTGACAGAATGGTATCGCACGAAACGGCCATTACCTTAGCCGATATGCCTATGTACGTACGCGAGTTAAAGGTCGATGCGAATTAACCAACACGGATGCGGCCGGGATTCTTTGTACGCTCGCCTTAATTATGCTCGCTCGTGCTGGTGAAGCGAAACTGCTATACAGAAGGGTAGCACGAAGCGGTTTAATCTATCGTACGCTTATTATATTGCATTTATTGCTCGATCGTAGCAAACCGGCGCGAGTATCCATCGGGGTAATCCGAATCGACCGTACACGAGCACGTTCACGTACGCGCGCGCGCGCGCGCGAGAGAGAGTTCCTTTCTTACTTCTCTTTAGCGTTAATGCACGGTTAGACGCCACAAAGCCACGATTATGCCTTGCCCATTAGGGCGTCCGGTCGATTACGGGATCGTGAAAAAAAAAAAGACTCGGCAAGGACAATGTCGCGATGGGCGGTTGCCAACTGGTCCCGCTGGGATCTTTTTATTGACGGTGTTTTAAGTAGGAGGGTCGCCCACGCCACACGCTCTTTTATCGTGTTGTTCACCCTCTTAACCATATCAATGAACACAAACCGAAGATTCTTTTTTTGGACTTTCTTTTTATTTTTAATAAATCTCATCTGATGTTGATTGCTCCGAAATTACAGCTATATGGTAGAGAAGTTGCCAAGAGTTTAGATTAGACAAATGTGATATCTCCAGAGGATTCCCGATCTCTCTACGTCACCGCGTTTCAAGAAACGAAACTGGAAGGAAATACCGACGCGCAATTTGCGGGCTCGGGAAAGCGAAAAGCTCTCGACGAATAGACTCGTACCAGGAAATCGAAAGCGCGAGGCATCATCAGTGCTACGAAGAAACGGTCAGTGGTTCGTTGCATGCGTGGCCATATGGCGATTATCCGCATCCAGTTATTTATAGCGACGACTCGAACACGACGCGCCGCACGCAAAGCGTACACCCCCCAGACACGCAGCATCCGCGATTCGTGCGTCGCGTCGCGCGTGAATTGGACCGGGCCTAGAATTCTAAAACCGCCGTCTTGGCGGTCGGGAGTCGGCCTCGTAAATCGCGACCGCCTCGGAGGCTTCTCTCGGTGGTTTATACACACCTCCGTAGCCCGGAGCAGCGTCGTATCAAGAGGAGAATGTCGGCGGCTACGTGGAAACTAGCTGCTGGCCAGAGGCGCCCGGTTGTTTCTAAACCCACCTTATCTACTGGCCCCTATAATAAGCCGCGATTTGAGACCATATATCCCCCGCCCGCACATGCTCCGAGAGGTCCGCTCACACTCATACATTCTCATCGCGCACTAGGTAGCTACCCGCGAACCCTGAACGGCGCGGCGTGTACGGCGTTCACTATACCACGAAGCGCTTGCAATTACAAGCTGGTCAACATATAATTATCCCCAATGACCATAAATTACTGGATTTTTATGCGCAACATTCTTAATTACCCTTTGAATTAACATCAATCAACCCCTTAATTGCACGCTGCCGCTGACGCTGCTTCCACGTCGTCGTCGTCGTTGTCGTCGTCGACGATGTCGGCTATAGAACTATAGTGCGAAATGGCGATGTGTGCCGCGGGCTAAGAGCAGGACGCGGAAGAAAGACGCGGGCTGACTGGCGTGAGAAAAAGCGAGAGGGAGGAACGTAAGGGAACACGAATCTGACAAAATCAGGAAACGGTGGGTGTCGCCCGAAGGCAACCCTCCCGAGGGGTGGATGACTGCCAATCCTCGAGAATCTTCTCACACGGTAGGAATGAACGCATCGCGTCGTATCGCGTCGCGTCGCGTCTGATAGTCTGATCGGACGACAGCATCGTGCGTAACGCGCCCATTTTAATTGCCTTCGGAGATCCTCGAGTGATTCTCATATCAATCGCCTTGGCGTATTAATCGCACGTCCTATTACACAGACTTTCACCGTTTATTCAGCGAGTGATTACCACCGGAGAAGCCGGCGAAAGAGGTGCGATACGATGCGAAAGGAGATTTATTTTATCGTTCCGAAGAACAACTTCCGAAGAACCATCATACGGAAGAGTTTTGGATCTTTTTTTTTATCCAGAGTAATTTGGATGGAACATAAAATATTGCCTGTATGTGGAATGCCCGATTTAAGTTATATGTCGAATATCTTGCAGAAGAACCCTGCGGGTAGCCTCTTCCCTTTTTCGAAAGATTTATGCGATCTCGATCGTGAGTAACGCATTTTTCAAGGTCGCACGACGAAGGGTACCAATTTTCAAACGGTCGGCCATGGTGACGTTTGAACGATCGCGCTATAATCACTCGCGATATCTTCGTCCGGTTAAGAATTCCTCTTCTATTTCACAAATCACGAACCGTGAGGGCGATGCGATACGCTAATGAAACCGCACTCTCATTAAAGCATCCAAATCGACGATACTAATTGGCTAGCTTTCGGAATACCCGGCATTAGACCTCAGGACGCGATATAATAATCGCTGCGGACGAATTCGGTTTGGACAGCCGGTGGTTAAAGCGTCTAGTAATTTCACGGGCGCAGCCCTACAGCGATTAATATGATTCCGACGGAAATTAATGACTGCAAACGGAAAAAAGATAGGTTGCATATAGTCCTGCTCCGGTGGCGTGGAGATAGAATGGCCGAAAAAATGTTCAGATATTAAATACTCTGCGATTTTTTTTATACATGTATAAAGTAAGATTTTATGTTGTTATGAAGATTAAAAATCTTCGAGTGTAATTAATTCCGATGTACTCGCGTAATATTAACTTCTTCGTTAAAAAATATTACACCTGAGGATGAAATTACCGCATGAAAATTTTGTCTTTGAGACGGACATCTCAATGAGAATTTACCTTCAGACCTTCAATCCATTTATCGACAGTCGCTCCCAAGGCACAAGAATCGAATAATGCTTATTAATCAGCTTAATTAGCAGCAAAGCTCCTTGTTGCACGTTGCGTAAATAAATTAATTCCTCATAGCGATGATCGATGCGATCTCTTCGCCTAGCTGCGGTGCCTGCATACTGGCCTGGCTTATTTTGCCGTTTTAATTGATACGAGACAAATACGGCGACCGTTAGAGTATAATTATTTTGTCTTTCCACAATATTACATACAGGTTATTGTTGATTATCATGATATAACATGTAAATGCATATAGAAGTGATTTTTATATTAAAAAATTATTACGTATATTTAAAATATTATATTATCTAATTAGTATGTTTATATAAACTTTGTTATAAGAAATTAAGAGATCGTATTGTATGCGAGAGAAAAGTACTTTTTAGAAATTGGGAGATATATATTGGAAAGAAAACTTTTCTTTCTATCTTAAAATAAATATTTTATTTCTATTTCTGTTAAAAGAAAAAAAATATATTAAAAGGATTAGTTTACTTTGTTGGGGAAATTTGCATTATTTCGAATTTGTGGATGTTCCAGATGACTTTGCTTGCTCGATGAAGTGAAAACAGTAAAACGCGAAAACAGGTGGACATTGTCGAGCGGACGCAGAGATAAATCTTGGTCATTTTTCTCGCTTTTTGGTCCGTGAAGGATGGTATAAATCACTTTAAGTTCAAAGCCATAGCAATCGGCGGCAGTCTGCGGTTTCGTCAGAGAGAGAGAGAGAAAGAGAGACGCGTGTTTCTCTCGATCTCGCTCAATCATTTCGGGCATCTTGAAGAAGTTTTCGCAATTGTCGCTAAGCAGACACCGCGCGACGCGGGCACGTCAGGACACCCCATATTTATAAGGGAACAGGCGACATTAACACCAGAGTTTGCACTTGGTGAGCGGTCTATTTGGTACCCAACGACCTAACGCTTTTATTATAAACACGCCGCCGTTTTAAAGCACGGCATCAAATATTTTTACGATGGCCATTATAAAACGCCTTTTATGAGGAACAAAGTAGCTCGCAGGCAGGAGGTGTTTTCTCGCCCTTTGACAATAATTTGTCCAGAATAACCGGCTCGTTTCACTCTCGGCCCCCCCACGCCCGGGCTTCCGCTCGATGATCCATCCAGCCGTTCGTCATAGGCGCGCGGCTTTTAAAAAGTAAAGCGCTGGACTCGGGCCAGCGCAAAAATAGAAGCAGATGTTATTAGTTGCGTTCACCAAGTATACGACGGCCGCCGCGGCGCGACGAGGCAGGCGGTGGCGGTGGCGGTGGCGGTGGTGGCGGAGGAAGGAGAGACGCGGGCAGAAGGCGACGAGGGAATGGCGTGTCCAGACGGTAGTGATTTCATTGCCCTTGAATTCTTACTAACTGAACGCTTAGATAAAAATAATTAGGCGGATAAACGCGGGGAGGAGGGGTTGAAGAGGAGGATGCCTGCGGACGTTAGTCGCGGCGATTTTATTCTGGAACCTCCCTCGGCGCCTCTCGCGTCGCAACGCGCGCCCTCCTCTCTCTCTCTCTCTCTCTCTCTCTCTCATCCGATGCGATGCGCCAACCAAATGTTTTTGCTTTGAAGTTGGAAGATGAACGGGCCTCCTTCTAATTTCCAGTGTCTGCATTCTTAACAGCTGCACGCGCTGCCGTTCGATACGGCTGATGCGGTACCGCGCGTCGCGTCGCGCCGCGCCGGTTTAATTAGCATTTCGCGTGTCGTCTTTCTCCCCCGGTTCTCAAAAAACCAAAAGCAAGCAACCGAATTGATATCGATCGGTTAACAAGGTTTCTCATCCTTTGCGGCAAATTGGTTCGTTTGTTCTTTATTTAAAAAAGTGTCACATGAGAGAGAGAGAGAGAGAGAGAGAGAGAGAGAGAGAAGTCCTGTTTTTTTCCAGTCATTAAATTAAGTCAAAGAACTCGAAATATACGTATAATTATTAGAGATTATTCACTCTATATACACAAAGGAAATCACACATTTGTGATTTCCTTTTGCATGCTCCTTACGTTTATTCGGTTTTGTAAAATGATATCAATTGGAAAATGCGAGATCGTTATATTAAGCACGACGCGAGCGTTTCGCGCTATTGAATCGAAATGCGCGAATTATATTCGCGCTATAATGGGATTGCGTCGTGCCGAGGGCTTGCGCGGCGGCGCGCCCGCTATTAGAACGGTCCTCCGAGAGTTTTGGTCGATTTGCAGATTACGAGTCCCCGGGATGCAAGGCTGACATGGCGGAGGGTTCGGCCGAGGAGGAACAGAGCAGTACTGCTGCGCCCGCTTCCCCGCCAGCTGATCTTCGCACTCTGAACACCCAATTGTCGCCGCCTTATCACCACCAGCCCCATCTCCAGCCTCGTCTTCAGCATCTGCAGCATTCCAACATGCTGGCGACCGCCGTACCGCCCCGGCACAGCCACAGTATGCTGTCTCATCAGGTGAAAGCGGAGGCAGAGCTGGACGCCCCCTGCGATGTGCCATTGAATCTCAAGAGCGAGGTAAGCGCAGGAATCCCTTCTCGTCGATTATTGATGTTGGGAATCGGTTAACTGCTTTTGATTGTTCATTTTCGATGTGTTTTGCTCGCCGAGCGGAAATCGCAACACGTTGCATGACAAGCACTAACGATTACTGTCGCAAAAACCGTTCGTGCACAGTGCCTGGAAAACCATTTCGGCGTAATGTATATATTTCAGCTTGATGTAGCAAGTGTAGTTAATTACTACGTAAGACACCGCGACGGCCTATTTCTGTCGGTTAGCGATCTCAAGCGATTGCTCGACCCATGCCTCGGTTGAAACGATCGAGATATCGCTATACGGCAGTGCTAAAGGATACGACGATCGAGACGGTCGTCATAACTCGTTACTAACGGTTTTGTGTGTCAATGACAACCAATTGTACGGTTAAGTAGCTGCCACGACGCATCTCAACCTAAATCGGCCAATGATCTTTCTGACCCGCAATGTATAAGATTAACGTACAAAACAAAGCGTATTCGAATGACTTCCACGAAGTTGAATGCGGCCGATATGCGATTTCGTTCGTTAACGCGTGTTATATATCTTCTAAAATGTGTATATTTAGCAGAGAAAATTATTTTCAGAGAATTTAATCTTAAATAGAAGCTCAGACATTAAGTCAACGGCAATCTCGGTATTATTGATTTACATCGACATTACGTAACATTCGCTAAATGCCTGCAAACCAAAATTTTCGTCATAGGGTCTAACCCTACGGAATTATATAACGTATAACGCAATTTACGTAATGTATAAAATAGATTCTTGTTATGATCAAAGTGCGACAGCATGTCTTATTGAGTAATTATTCAAAAAGAAAGTCGTTAGTCTGGTTACTCATTGCGCAATTCTGAGTAATATATTTAGTAGTTGAAACGAATAATGTTATTAGATGTAATTTAAATGATTGCAAACTGACAGAGGTAAAAATATTATAATTAACACGTAAGTGACAGCAAACTGAAATTGTCATTTAGCATGCGATTGCTTGTTAACGTAACTTGTTTTTCATTTACCAGGAATTAATAGAACGATACTGACAAGAGGTGTAGATAAATCAAATTCAAAAAGAGGTGGAATTTCAAAATGTCTAATAGTGCATGCATTTGTCTAAGTGTTATACACAAGTTTCCACATTTTCTAATAATAGAGTAAAATAATTTTCGTTGACCCTCTCCTCGATCGAATCTGCTCGATCACTAATTTTCAGTGTTAAAAATTGATTTGATGTTAATCGCAAACAAATCGTATTTTAATTGCTACCAACATTGTGTGAATTTATCGATATTCGTAACATAAAACTTGCTCATGCGGAGAAATACGGAGAAGAGATAAAAATTAGGAAAGACTTTTTCGATCGGGAGATGTGGACAAGCTGAGCGAAAACTCATTAATAAAACTGATAAATCGGTCGTTAATTATTTCTCGTGTAGTGAAATTAGTTGTAAGTAACGGTAGTTGTAAGTCGTTAGAACGAGGCGGTAAAGTATGATGAGGAAATCCTGACTTCTCCAGCTGCGCGATCGTAAAGCGGAAAATATTTGCACGTAGCTTATATACGTACCCGCTTCAATGAACGGTGACCAGTTTTGTCGATGCTTGCACATCGGACTAGCCAGTAGGGAAACTTTAGCAAACAAGCGTCCGAGGATTACTAGTCGTCAAATGTGTCTATACTTTCTTTTGGGACAATTAACTCTTGCTTATCGATTCTTTGCAGAGTCGTCTGTCGTCAGTTTCAAAAATGTTAACGTGGTTTATGAGCGAATACTATGCATCGAGAGATATCATAGCAAATATAAAAATAAGGAATCGGTAAGCTTGTCGCGAGCACCCGTAGCAAATTCCTAGCGTCACGCACAATTCCTATAGCTTCATTGATAACGATATAATTAAGTCACGCCGCGTTGATCCATCACTTTACGATCTTAATTGCCAGAACACAAGCCGCATGATATTCTTAAACGTAAAGAATTAGACTCTACGAAGAATTCGACAATGATGCCAATTAAGCGACGGAGGAGAACAACCGCGACGCTAGACACGACGACAGCGCGTCTCGACTAGAGTCTCGAAAACGGTAGTCTCATCCGTTTAGAGCTCGTTGTGTGTGTCCCTGTCCATCCATTACACTATTATCCCGTCGGCAAACACGGTATCCACGCACGGACTTAATGCCCGGCGCGCATCTGAGAAGAGAGCATGCGATTTACGCGCAAAAGAAGGAGAATGTTTTATTCGCGCCTGACAAAAAGAAATATCTTACCGGTGTACGTGCAGGATGCGGATAATAAAGCCGCGCTTCCGAGATGCGTGACGAGAAGGAGGAGGAATTTCCCGACGCGATCGATCATCGTTCACTGATTTCGCGCGTAAAACAATTTCGCCGCTTTCGACTGTTGTCGAAGCAGCGTCAATTTTCTCGATCGGGAACATCAAGAATAAATCGCTCGCACTTTGCGCGGAATCGACCGATATGCGGAGACGCGCGCGGGTGTTATATCAGCGGAATAATTTATCCGCGATTTCATCGCGGGTAGCTCACTCGCGTGGAGTTCCACAGTCGCTCGAACTTCTGTTAGACGATCATAAATTATTAGACCTTTGAACGCGGTATTCTTAACGACCCCCTCAGTGCCATTAGCCGTTCCTCGTAATTGCGGAATATCTCTTTCTTGGGAGAGTAATGGATATTCGGCGACGCTAATATGTATAAGGATATAAGGAGCGAGCATAGATTTCGTGAGATGCACAAGGTCATCTCCGCGCAACCACAAACGGACACATTGCCAAAAAAGATCGTAAAAGAACTGCGCGCATATATTCTCGCCTCCGAAATTTTTCGCGAAGTAAAGTATTTAAATTACTGACAGAGACGAATGATCCGTTCTACGATCTCGGAAATGCGTAACGTAGAGTATAACGTAAAAATACGAATATATCGCGCGATGATAGAGAAGTGCAAAACCCGAAATGGATCGAGCACCCTTTGCATCCGCGAAGACCGCAGTAATGTGCATATATATGCAAATATTCGCGTATCTCACAGACACAATCTGCGGACCGGAAACCGTTAAACGCTCGACGGATGCATCGTCACGAATATTCCTCCACTCGTGGTCCCGAAGATTTCGTCCCGGTCACACGATAGAAGCCGCTAAACCATCTACAGGCTTTGCCGCAGAAGCAGCGACCCTATCCAGACCCTCTCGAATCCGAAGACGCAAATTTCACGTAGCTGAATCCGGCGCGTTGACCGTCCCGATGGATCGATACGCCGTAACCAGCCTTAAGGCGCATTCCAGCTTGATGGCCAGTAGTCCCGGCCGTAAATGCATCTGTCAAGAAAGTGATTGAAGGTAAACGATTCAGGGGGAGTCGCAAACGCCCAGACGGATCGGATCTCATTACCTCGGTGGCTCATTTCAGCGACTCAATTGCATTTCGATCGGATTTCACAATTATTATGATTATTGTTGAGCGAGACCCCGCGCAGCGCATAGGTCTCTCTGCGGCCGCGCCGATTAGAATCCGGCGAGAAGCAGTCATCTCGCGCGCCAGCAGCGTCCAGCTTTTGACTCGCCGGCGCCGAGCCGAGATGCCCCGCGCTTTGATCGGTCGTAAAAAAATCCGTTTATCGCGTTGCACTATGGGTTTGTTTACACGCAGTATAATGATATTTGCTGGCTGTACGCCAGTGTACGCAAAAGACTGCTATAGCAGGTATCGATGCAACCAAGATCACCCGATGATGATTCTACTAATTTGAGAGATAACGTTTTTGCATAAGCAAATCGTCGTTATGACGCGATCATGATCTAATGCCCGTATCACACCAGCGATTGATGATTGCGTCTAGAACGGAAATTGCGAATCGCAATCGCCAGCAACTACTTTCTGATTGGTCAAGAGACGTAAACGCAAACGTAGATGCAATCGCCAATCGCTAGCGTGATACGGGCTTAACGCGGTTGATAGAGCTCAGTCGCGCCGACGATTCAAGAACGAGGAGAATACAGGTCGAACTTTCATCGAAAAATCCGTTTTATGACGCATTATTATACTTGCCGATCGCAAAAGATTTAGCTAATAAAAACGTACGTTTGACGGGTGATCGTCCGTAAAGCAACGTGGTCAGAACGACGAACGTGGAAATGGGTGGCAAAAAGAAGAATGAAAAAAAAGTGGAGGAAGTAAAAAGAATTAAAACGCCGAGATATTCTATCGATGGCTCGTCTATTTCTCTCACATATGGTATTCGCGGAGTGATGGAATGTTTATCAATAGATTAATCTCGGAGATCGGCGGGTGGTTCCGCGTCGTCGCCGGGCAGGCTCCTCGATTGCGATTAAACATAAAAGTATTATTTCAATCTGGCCCCTCCGCGCGTGTCGGCCATACATTCTCTCGATGTGTGTATGTCATCCCCGTCGGCACATACGCACACAGGCGCGCGCGCATACGTGTGTATGTGTGCATGTGTGTGTGCGCGCGCGCACACTTACTCGCGCGACCGATAGATCGGGCATTTTTCCATTAGATTGGAACTTGATTAAATTGAAAATCTGTCAATTTAGGAAAAAGCATCCGACAGCTTATATTGACGGTGGACATTATACGCGGTGGCCAACGAGGCAGAACTCGTTGGCCTGACAACTAGCGGAGATATAAAACCCATCGTCGCGACGATGGACCCGGGATGCGCGCCGGGCTGTTTACTTTTTGCTTCCTTTTGCGCCCTTGTAAAATTAATTGCCGGACGCTCTTTGAGGGTGACGCTCGCTTTCGCCGTTCTACCGATCGCGGAAATTTGCTCACGGTGTCATTCGTTCAATCTCCACCCTGATATGATTCCGACGCAGCACACCCTCGGTATCCTCTCCTCCTCGCCCCCCGTTCACCCCCCCTCCCCCTCTCGCGACAGTTCCGTATCCGTCGCGAGATAGTCGCTGACGAGTTTTTGTAACGAGCGCATT